GCATATGATTGAACGTCCGCGCTATCTATTGATAATGATGTTTGACCTTCAACACTCCCCTTCAAATGGCAGTGTGGAGACCAAGCTCGGACGTGAAATGTTTGGCCTTGATGTTGGGGAGCGCTTTGGTAAGTGTATCTGCCACCATACTATCAGTGGGACAATAGAGAAAACTAATAGAACCTTGTTCAACAGAAAAATGAATAAAATGATAACAGATATCAATGTGTTTGGTATGTGCGTGGTAAGATCCATCCTTCGTCAATGCTATGGCTGATTGATTGTTGCAGTAGAGAGTCATTGGGTGTTTGAGTGGGCGAAAAACCTTGGAGATGAGACGTTGGAGCCAGAGGATCTCTTTCGCGGTATGTGTTGCTGCTACATACTCTGCTTCTGCCGTCGAGAGTGTTACTAACTCTTGTTTCCTCGACCCCCAGAGTATTGCTCCCCTGTCTACGAGCAGCGCGAAGCCAGTAATTACTCACCGGTGTTCTTGGGATGCACTGTCTGCATCAGCGTAGCCGAGGAGTTCACTCTTTGTTGTTCCAAAGGTAAGTGCCCACTTCTTTGTGCCCAACAAATAATGATATACTCTCTTCACCCCTTCCCAGTGTGCCCAGCCAGGGTTATTGGCGAATTGTGCCAGGGTTGAAACCACGAACACGACGTCTGGGCATGTTCCCACTGCCAGGTACATCAATGACCCAAGCGTGGAATGAAACGGGACTCGCTTCATCTCAGCGATGTGTGTTGTCGTAGTGGGGGATTGATCCTTCGTGTACTGCATACTTGGATCCATAGGCACTGCTGCGGGTTTGGCGTCGACAAAATTGTATTTCGTGATAATAGTGTTGATGAAGGACTCTTGGGACAGCGAAATGGTACATGCTTCATGATTTCGAGTGACTTTCATACTGAGTAACCAGCTGATAGGTCCTAGGTCAGTTATTTTGAATCACAATGTGATTTCGACTTTGAATGCTTTGATTAGCTCTTTCGAGCTGCCAGTTATGGTGCAGTCGTCGATGTGTGCTGCGAGGATGAGTAGGTCTTCTCCTATGTGCGCTGTGAACACTCCCCAGTCACTTTCCATCCATTTGAATCCTAGTTTGGTGAGTTCTCCACATAAATGTTTGTACCATTTTAACGCGCCTTGTTTAGATCCATACAGCGCAACTTGAAGCTTTGCGACTTTGTCTTTTCCACCAATGTCAGTGCCTGGTGGTAGCTCCATGTAGATCTCTTCATTGGCATCCAGCTTGCCATTCAAGAATGCACTGTGGAAATCGAAGACATCAACATCCCAATCTTGGCGTGCGGCAACAGCGAGGATCAGTCTCAATGATGTGAGACGAGCCACAGGTGCGTAAGTCTCATAGTAATCCACACCATAGACTTGCGTCAAGCCTCGTGCCACCAGCCGGGCCTTATTCTTATTGATTTCTCCTGCAGCATTTCTTTAATCTTGAAGACCCATTTGCAGCTGACAATATTCTTGTTCTTGGGCCGCTGGACAATGTCCCAGGTATGTGCTTCATCGAGACTCTTTAGTTCTGCACTGACAGCGTCTTTCCAGTTCGCCCAATCAGATCATGTCTTCGCATCTTCGATGGTGCTTGGCTCCAGGCCTTCAGCCTCGCTCATTCCTGCGAACATCACATAAGTGGTCGGTTCTTCATCAAATCCAAATTCACTTCCTAACCCTTCTCCAGATGCTCCCATGCCTCTGCTATCTTCCTCTCTCTCTTCCTCTACCCTCTGCATGCCTCTAGGAATGATTGGGTCGCCATCTCTACCATTGTGAGTACCTTCTCCACTGTGCAACCTGCGCATGTATGGTGATTCTGTCCGCTGACGAGTGGATTGTCTAGGGCCGGGTGGCTGCTGTTTGAAGTTTGATCCTAGTGGATCGGGTGCTGGTGCTTCTGTGCTCGAGGTAGGGGTTTGGGCAGTGTGAGGAGTTGCTGGCTGACTATCATTTGTAGTTTCACTCTCCCCCTCAGGCCGCGAGCTTCGCTGACCAAATGCAGTCCCAACCTGTCTCTCGAATGAGATGTTTCATTCGACAGTGATTATTCGATGATCCTCGAGGTAAATTTGGTGCGCTCTGCTTTCAGCATCAAATCCTACCCACTGGCCTTCACGTGCTCTCATATCCAGCTTCATTCGAGTGTCATCGTGTACCCATACATGAGTGCCCCAGACAGATAAGTCTGCGAGGTTTGGCTTCTTACCATACAGCATCTCATATGGGGTCTTGCCATCTAGCGTGCGTGTGGCTGTGTGGTTCTTTACATAGACTGCATGCATAATAGCCTCTCCCCAGAGGAATTTCGGTAGTCCGCTTGCATGCAGGACTGCATGGACTCATTCAATGAGGGTCTGGTTCAGCTGCTCGGCAACACCATTGTGTTGTGGTGTGTCATGAGTGGTAAGTTTTCGTTCTGTACCTTTTGCGCGAAGGTGTTGGCTGAACTCATCGCTAAGGTACTCTCCACCACAGTCAGAGCATAAGCACTTGATATTGGCCCCATGCTGAGTCTTCAGCCATGCCTCGTAAGTCTTATAAGACCTGAATGTGTCCTATTTTGCTGATTGAAGGTATAGGGAAGTATAGCGGGTATGGTCATCCATGAACGAGCAATAATAGCTCTTGCCACCTTGTGTCTGGGTAGGAGAGGGTCCCCACAGGTCACTGTGGACCTCGTCACCGAGGTTCTCATGCCGTTTCAGTTCACGTGAGTCCCTGATGGGTTTCTGTGTTGCTTTTGCATATTCACATGATTCACACTGGCCCATAGTCTCGTGTGCAGGGTCTAGCTTGATGCCATCAATCATGCCCTTTGCAAGCATCTCGCAAATGGATGATGGTGCTATATGGGCCATATGCTTGTGGAGTTCCTCCATGGTCAAGAACTTGGGTGTGTTGGCGGCCCCCGCACATGAGGTAAGTGGTCGCTGTACTCGATACAAGCCATTTCTAACCAGAACTTCGCCTAATAGCTTCTTATTGGCATTGAAGATCTTGCAAGATTCATCACAGAAAAGTGCTGCATACCCAGCAGAGGTGAGTCGGCTGATTAAAATGAGTGTTACCCCCATTGATGGTGCATATAGAACATTCGTTAATAGGATACAAGTTTGCTTTTGCCATTTGGGAGTTTGATGGGTAGATCACCTCTGCCTATGGCTTCGAAGGTGTGTTTGTCAGCGGCTTGGATGGGGTGCAGGGAAATTGACTTGAAATTAATAAAGTGATCTCGGTAAGGGGACATATGCTGTGAGGCTCTGCTGTCGTAAAGTTTGACAGTGGTGCTAGTTGCTGCTCCTGTGCTAGCAAGCGATCCATCTTCCACTGTTGCAAGCCAGACACCATCAGGTTCGTCTTTCTTCTCGGTAGCGGTGTTTACTCTCTGGCCTGACTTTGAGCCTTCGCCCCCAGACTTGTTCTTCTTCCCATGCGACTTCCAGTTCTTTGGTCCCTGACCAGCTTTGCCACCACCCTCTTCCCAGCAATCCTCCTTGTGGCCATTCCAACCGCAATTATGACAGATAATGGGGGTTCTTGAGTTTCGGCCTTTCCATCTCTTGCCGTCTGCTTGGAAAGCAGCATCCTCGTTCTTTGGCTTTGACTTTCCACCATCCTGTAGTGCGAGCCAGTCATACTCGTCGAGGACAAGACCCATTAGGTCATCGGAGGTAAGAGTCTTCTGATGGAGTTTGATACTTGATGCAATGGACATTAATATCCCATTATAGCTTCGGGGTAGTGATGCGAAAATGATATTAAATAGGTCCTCGTCAGACATGGGTTTGCCCATTGATGCAAGTTCTTCATGGATCAATGTGATCTTCTCGATGTGAGCCCGGGCATCACTGTTTTCTTTGAGCTTCATCTCCCCCAGCTTTTGCCATAACTCGACACTGATGACCAGTGACCACTGCTCAAATTGGGCTTTGAGTGTGTCATAATAGTCCTTTGCTGTTGGCTTTGAGAGAAGCTTGACAAATAAGCTGTCCAGCAACATGACAGCAATTTGCTGTTTGACCACAGCATCTTTTTCGAGCCATTCTGCGAGCTCCTTCTCATAAGTCTGCACTGCCTTGATCTTGTCTGCTGATGATGGTGACCACCCAGCAGATTTCCCATCAGCCGGATTCGTCGGCTTTGATACCGTCCCGGTGAGGTGCCCCATGAGCCCTCTTGCTGACAATGAGAGTTCGAGTCTGCCTTTCCATAAAGGCCAGTCTTTCCCTGAAGCATCCAGCTTTGGAACCTTCAAGAACTCATCTCCTAATTTCGTAGTGAAGGACATAGTGCAACTTTGATTGGTGGGCTTCCGCATAAAATTTTCTTCCGAGTTTCAGAGCACAGGGCTCATAACCTATAGAAGATAAACTCAGTTGTGTATAACCAACTGTGTATAATATGTACCTATAGAAGATAAACTAGGTAGCTCATTAGTGTCTGTACTAGTAAGTAACAAATGTATCTCACCTCAGTTGTGTATAACCAACTGAGGTGTGTTTAGCATATGAGAAGTCTAAACAATGAGTGTGATTATGTAAGCATATGATTGAACGTCCGTGCTATCTATTGATAATGACGTTTGACCTTCAACATGTCGCCTGACAACCAGAAGCGAGGCGTGTGTGCTGTATGTGCGCATAATGTTTGTGCATCTGATTTGGTCTCTGTTGAGACCTCTAGACTTTCACTTTGCCTTTTGCAAAACAAATGTCTACTAGAGCATACATTGCCGTGTTTGTATGATTTTGAGCTCTATTTGTGTGCCATTTTGTACCCAAAAGGCATGATTGATCGTTGGTCATTAGCCCCACTGTTGCTTTGTTCCGTATGTTGTGGATATTTGTTACGGACACTGGCACGCCAACCTATTAATTCTTTGGCTAATTTTCAGTATTATGGTCACGAGCGTTTGCCACATCCCATTGTAGAGACTAATATCTCTGTGGGCTTGCAGGGATCTAAATTCTCAATGTCTCTACCACTTCCTAACATAGCACGACCCATATCTCACCCAGCGTGCTCGAGCACTTTGTTGGCCACTCGCTCATACCAGCACTCCGGTCGCTCATCAGTCGCACGTCGGCGCGTGCATCCTTGGTTCCGTCGCTCATCCTCTGTCTATCCATTCCATGTCCATTTGGTTCGTCAGTGCATATTCCCAACTTATTTCCATTTATTCTGACATATCTCCAGCGCTTATGGTCATATTCCGTATGTTTTCCATGATGGACCCTTAGATTACATATTATTCCATATCCGCTTCGCTTCTCAGTTCACTTTAGTGCTTGACAGCACTTATCATTACTTAGTATATATACACGTGCCTAAACTGTATAATGGGAATCTTTCTGCCCGCACATCATTGGACTATAAGTCTAAGTTCTCCCTCTAAATCTAAAGTATCTAAGTACAATACAAGCACTGCTGCTGTACATTACTAGAAACTCTGCCAAATAGTTTTCTGACTCAATAAGAGTCGCTGTGCTCCACCACCTGCATGCGCGCACCGCTACCGTTTAGCGCGCACTCCGTTATAAGTCATGTGCCGTCACTTGTCATCGGACGATTATTGCTCATTGGCACTTCATGTCGCTTTCACTCACTCGCGCTTCGCTCATTGTCGTGCGCCTTACCAGGCTTGACCAAGCGCCTGGTTCAGTGTTTCCCTCCATTTATACACTTAGAGGAACCTTCTCAGTAGCAATCCCCTTGGGCCGACATATATCTCGCTCATCAAGGACTACTTGAGTTTATCTCATACCATCATATTACCCCACTTCCCATTCCTCTTCTACACCGTCCATGATGCACTTTCCGGTGCTTCATCATATGATCTCATGTTGATCTCTTGTGCACGTGCATCCCATGTGACTCACTTCTATACTTATAAGGCTAATCCAGGTGGTTATCGGCAGAGCGAGGAGTCCTCGCAGCGTTACAACCAGGGAAATGTCGCTATTCGTCCTCAGGATTCGCCTCAGCTGCACTCATTGCTTCCTCCTATGTACGATGAAATTCGGGACACTGTCTGTGTTGTTTTTGCTGGTCACAACCAGGTTCCGACGTGAGATATGGTTAAAACGATGCAGCCAGTGCTTGTCACGAAAAGTATTGTTCAGACACTTATTGAATTTTTGATTGCTCACAATCCTTGGTATCAGCAAAGTGGTGTTTCTTTCAGCCAGTCTAATATGGCTGATCTATTTGATACAATTGGCATTAATGATGACTGTGGTATTCTCCGCACTCTTGAAGTGTGTTATTTGCCAGGAGCAGGATCATCAGATTCTTCTGAGTCTCATGCACCCCGCGATTTGAATACTCCGGATTGTGCTGCGGATGGAGACATTGTGCTTGAAGCAGTCAGTTACACTAAGGGAGACCATTCCGTGGCTAGTAGACAAGCAATGAAACTGAATGCTCTGGCATTCATATTGGATCACAATCATTTTCTGGTTTCTCGTACTGGCTCAAGATTTGTTGGTGACAGAGACCCTGGTCTGATGTCGTTTTTGTTTCCTCATTTAGATCCATGGGGTATTGGAGGATTTTTTCATGTCGCTTGTTCCCATAAGCAGTACATATCAATGGAGGCACAGGTCCAAAACCTCTTGTGTCAGGATGATTCCCCATTCAAGGGCAATGCCAATTTTGCATTTGTTTGTTTTAATATGTTTCAGAAACATGAAGTAAGCCAGAATTCTTCATTTTGTGTCAGTAAATCAGCTCATCGGACATTGTCTATGGATTTGCAAGCAGTGGCTCCTTTGCTGACCGATTTAGCTGAGAAATGGACCCAATCATCATTTCAAAAGACATTGAATGCTGAAGAGAAGCGCGCACTGAAAGTACTTTGAAAATTCAAACATCCGCGAAGTCTCTTAAAGGTAGTTTGGGATACAAGCTCTGTTGTCGTAACAAGATCCGTGCGCTGATCAAGTGGTTTTCTACTCCTGCTTTCTTTGTCACCATCAATCCACATGATTTAACAAGCAGCTTGATTCTGATTGTGGGTGGTTTGGATCATGCTGAGTGGCACACTATGTCATCATTTGCTGCAACAGCCCGTGCAATAGAGTGGCTCGCCAAGACAATCTTGACATTTGTACACCCCATCCTGTTGGCAGATGATGCATCTCCTGTTGGCAGATGATGCATCTCCTGTCTTCTGGTGGAGCTTCTCGATCGAGGAGGTGATGTAGATATGATTCCTGCCTTGGCAGCCATTGCCTGAGGTAGTCATTTTGACTCTGTATTTTTGAATGCTTAGCCATAGTTTGAATGACACTCCAACATTGTACATGAACTTGCCATGGTTTTTGGGAGTTGCAAAGGCTCAAATGAGCCTTGATCCTGCTCGTAAGTATTGTCAGGAAAGTCTTCCCAAGGAGGTGGTACCTCAACAGGCTGAATTGTTGGTGATTCTGGGGGAGAGTTAGGCATGGACCTGTAGGCATGTCGCCTTGTGCTTGCAAGTGGGACCTTGACCCAAGTCTTCCTACCTTTGCTGCCCCTTGCTTCCACCCTGTGAGATTTTTGCACTGGGGTGCATCTACCTATCTTCATCTTGTTTATTAATGTTGCAAGCAAGGCATCAGCTCAGGTGTAATGAATTGTTATTGCAATATGATGCGGTGCAGTCCTGTTGGCGCATTACAAATTCATTTCCATTAATGGCTTCAGGTCCGATATGGGCCGATTAACCTATCATTAGGCTTTGCTCGAAGTTCAACTTCGCACAATTCATTAATACTTCCATCTTGCAAATCCTTAGCCATTTCTGCATTCTGATTCACTATGGCAAGAACAGGTCATTCCACCAACATGACTTCCGGAAGACACAGGATGCATCAACCACAGTCTCAGAAGCTCACGGACAAGGAGATTTTGGAGTTGAAGAACTACCTTCCTGAGTGGACTGCTGCCAAAAGGAGTGAGAAGCGAGCAATTTTCACTGCCATAGCAAGGGCGGCCAGGTTGTTTGCTCCTAAGTTGGACCAAAAACAATGGAAAAAGAGGAAGCAGGTGAGGCTTCTTTGTTGTGTGGAAAAACTAAATTTTCAACATCACATTCTTTCATCAACTCTTAGGTGTACAAGACTTGGTTGTTCAACAACAAGAAAAAGAAGGAAAGGAAGGACATGATCAAGTATGGGAGGAAATGGACGCCCAGGATGGTGGTCTACCAGCAGAAACGCGAAGAGGTGCTGAAGAGGATTGAGGACAAGTCTGGGGTAAAGCCAGGAGATCCTGGTATGTTCAAACATTATCAGGTGGTGGTGAAGAGAGTCATGGCTGAATTGGACGATGATGAGTTGGAGAAGGCAAAAGAAACAGCCGAAGAGTGGTCCAACAACTGTCCGCCTCCGGAGATACAAGCACAAGTGGCTCGTAAGAAGGGTCCGGCATATATGGAGCACTTTTTGAATGAGATGTGGAGGCAATGTGGGATGAGAGTGTTTGTGATGTCGGCTTGGAAGAATGAAAAGGGCGAGGTGCTGTTTGGGATGTGAGTACATTTATCCATTGACGGAGATCTTTCGGCTCAAAATATTCATGCAGGCATGATGATAATGAGGCCTTAGGAGATGGGGACAGCTTCATGAAGATGAAGGACTGGGAGGACATTGAGCCAGTGTGGCAGGAGTATGTGCAGGAACAGTTTAGTGAGTGTTTGAACCATGTATACCAGATTGAACATGTTGAGCATCACGATGATAGGTGCTGGGGCACGGGATGGAGGACGTCAGGTCAAGGGAGGTCCAAAACAAATTCGAAAATCAGCCTTCAAACTCGAAATGGACGGGGAAGGTATGCCACTCCTTCCAGACATCACCAACACCAAACTTGAGGAGAAGAAGGCCATAGTGAGGGCCTTTCTTACATCGCACTATCGTGAGTTTGTCGTCGCATCACCTGACAAATTGTTCAATGCATGGACAAAGGGATATGCTCTGGGAAGGACAAGGCGGTTGTGCCATGGATTGCCATTGTACAAAGTCAGGATGACTTTGTGGCCCAGACATATCTTCTGGCAGATGTTGACTTGAAGGAACCTTCAAAGCTGCAAATTTGGGACACCACTACCTTGCTCCATTTCTGGCATGCTTGGCAGGAAACAGGCGAAGGTCCCACATTTCTGTTCAAAGCATGGAAGAACAAAGATGGGGACATGATACCATCTGTCATATCTGGCAACTCACCCTCTCCTCAGACTCATATAGTGAGAAGGCAGCTGAGGGTTACCATCCGAAGGCCTCGGGAGTCATCGACAGAAGCTGAGAGTGATAAGGAGAGTGCTACTCCTCATCATACGGAGCATGATGTGGATGATGACCTGGCTGACGGGAGACCTCCGCTGAAGAAACACAGGACGGGAGGTCCTACACCCAGAGGGCCGGCAGTCCCACGTGCAATTCCAAAGCCTCACCCGGCCAAGCTGGCCAAAAAAGGTGCATTACTGACATCACAAATGGGAGACCTCCTTGCTGGGTTAACTGAAGATGCAACGGGCGAGGTTAGAGATGATGTTGAAATGGAAGAGAGTATCATGCTGCTGGCACAGAAAAGGAGGTGGGGCACTCAAGTCACTGTTGAACCATCCATGAGGACGACCCGGAGTAAGTTGCAAATGCCAGTAGACAGTACACCTAGAGTAACCAGAGCACGGGGACGCACTTAATGTACATATATGTTCCTGCCCTCATGTGTAATGTCATATGTGCTATTATGTATATGTCAAAGTACTAACAACCTAATTGTAAATCCCAAATCCCACATCTCGAGTACCAAGGCCTGAGTGCCAAACCCCGAGTACCAAACCCCAAACGCCGGGCACCAAGTACCGAGTACCAAGGCCCGAGTACCGAGCACCGAACACCGAACACCAAGTACCAAGTACTGAGCACTGAGTACCGAGCACCGAGTACTGAGCACCGAAAACTGGACAGCGAGTACTGGGTAGGTAGAGTACACAAGTACCAAGTATTAAGTACTTAGCAGGTAAAGTATACTGCAATGTGTCTACTATCAGACATTGATCAATATTTACATGTTACTTGAGTCCTCAAAGGCCTCAATGAGGGTATCTAATACCTTCAGCATTTTGGAGGTTGACTCCCTTACCCTTTGCATCCTCCGGAGGTCAGCATCTGCTTTCCGCAGCTTGTCGCATGTTTCAGCCCATGCCATCCTGAATGGTCTGTCAGCCTCAAGAATTTGTGCTACTGTAGGGGCAGGAAGATCTCCATGACACTGTTGGTAATCACCCAGGTGATCTACAATTGATTGAACTTGCAGGATATTAGCAGAGATAAATAATCAAATGTTGCATACTTACTTTCAGCTTGATCATAAGATCCAATTGGCATGAACTCCTGAACCATGGCACGCAGTGCTTCATTGTTGAGTTCCAGCTCGGGCGATTGACATTCAGCAGTTTCTGAAATAGCTTGGGAGATAACATGAGTAAAGAACATGAAATGATATGACTATACCTACAAGGTATAGGTGCCTCTGGTACAACCGGAGTGGCCGGATGAGGCTCTGGAGTCGATTCATTCACTGGGGAAATGCCATGAAAGGTGAACATGAAATAGAAAGAATGACCTCACCAGCCATAGGAAAATCGGGTACAACCAGAGCATCATCAGACAAAATCAAGGTATCCTCCGGACCAAGATACAAGTCTGGGTCATTGTAAAGGGCCAGTCCATCCGCCAGAGCTGGAGATGATGGATCTGGAAGTATGTGATGAATTTGCACATGTGGAATATGTACATTTGAATTGGAAAACATACCGGGAATCACATTCAACACATCCAAACCACTGGATGACACGGAATCAGAGTCTAACTCATCATCTGGCCCAAGGTATATCATCTAATGGATCTAAACCATGTCAGATCAATTGACTGAAATCAGAAAAAACAAAACATACCAAGGGACATCCGGGACTGGGAGGACTCATCCACATCCATTGAAGTGAATTCAGTGACCAGAGGGTCATGAAATCTGACCCCAGGTTGAGAACTCATGATATCTGATGAGCTGATGAACCGATGAACTG